ACTTTGGATTTTCCCTCCAGATACTTCTGCTCTTCCTCATCTGCTGGCTTCCGCTCGTCAGTCTGCTCTGCTTCACTCCTGGAACTCTCTGGGCGGTACACGCTGCATGCTTTGAAGAAATCCTCCGGCTGGATTCCACTCCTCCCTCTGGGCTTGGACTGAACCTAGAAAACCAGGTTAGTGACTCAAAAGCTCTCTATAGTTCCCTGTCAGAGTTGCGTGGTCACTAACCTGAGTTTCTACCTCTACAGGGATATCCAGCCATCCATTCCCAGCTGATGAGCTGCTGATTATTGAGAAAATAATAAAAATACATTCTGAGTCCTGACAAAGAACCTTTAATCAAAAGCTAACATCAGCATCCTTGAACAGCTTGCAGCACTGTCTTCCTACAGTATGATTGAAAGCTTATATTTTTCTACCAGCTGTGCAGCATAAAGATGTTTAAAGTCATCCAAGGATGCAAACAATTCTTCTCAAATCACTCATGCCAACCATAAACAATACAGCACCCTGGGCGGTATGCCATTTTGCCCATATCAAAAACCACCGCTGCAAATCCCTTCAGTATATATGATATGCAGGTCCCAATCTATTCAGCTAGAAAATCATTGTGCAGATGAGAAAAGTGCAGCCAAGAATTGCTTCTGCATATAGATTCTGTCAAAGCAGTTCTAAATAAATCTGTTTTAAAATGCCATAATAAGTATTTAAACCAGTGCATGCACAGAGCAGTTATTTTCTCTGAGAGATCCTGCAACTTTAGATAGGATGATAACTAGCATATAGACACAAAACATTTAGTCACTCACCGAATCACATAGCAGCACTACATTTTTGAAATGACTCAACTGTTTTTCAACTCCAAAGAAAAAATGAGTAAGCCTGTGCTACTCATCTGTGCCAATCCATGATCAATTTTAACATTTGTTTGGAGCCTATTGCCTCAAAATCTAAGACAATGAGGCACCGTTGGCTTAGGAGCTTATTACTGGGCTTAACCTACTCTGTGCTTCTGCACTGCTTGAGGTTGACCCAATTCCCAGGAATGGAGCCACCAACTGTCTTTGTGTTATAGACCACCTGGATGCCAAAACCTCCTGAAGAAGAAAGAGTAAAAGTTATATAGTCATTGAAAATCTGTTTTAACTGACTGATTATAAAGAAAAATAACCAATAACTTCTTAAGATGTACTGAAAACAAGAGTCATATTTCAGATTGCTTAGATATGCTTTCCCTACGTTTGTACTTTATGGTTTTAAATAACAACATTGAGGTGAAGACATATAAAATGTTATTAAATACATTGGATTTTCATTTAAAGGAGGAGATCTCTGGTTTGATACCCTTTATTCTAAACAAAACTGAAAGCAAACAGCTACAGTAGGTCTTCTGTGTATATTTATAAGGAAAGGCTCTTGAAATGTCTCATCAAAGAGGGTAACCTTATTCATGCTGGTTCTGTGCAGCAGTCGTTGGTGTCAAGAGAGTGTATTAGTTGGGAGTATTAGTGAGACCTCGGGATCCCTGGGCTGCTCCTTCTGCTCTCTCCATATGACCCTGCTAATCCCTCAGCCTGTTGTCTGGGACACACACAGAGGCCTGACTCATAGTAACAGCAAAGATGTGCACCTAAACTACTGTTATGCTTTATTTACAAAGGTGTTTTGCTCATTTAGATTTATTTTATCCATAAAAATCAATAACTACAAACTCCTGAAGCTTTGAACATACACTGCTGGTGGGTGTTTTGGAAGAACTCCTGGAGTGGCAGATGAAAACCGGGGTTGTAGGTCAGGATTGATCCAATCGATCTGCTAAACAAAGATCAGAAGATAAAATAATACCAGTCAATCTCTAAAAGGTTGAACAGGGTTGAAAAAGGGAATCCCACAGCTTCCAGTCCAAATACAAACCAGCTAGTAGAGCAACGTCTTTGTTTTTTTTTTAGATATTTGACAATAGATTATGCTTGTATGTCTTGAATAGGAAGTGCTGGATCAGAAAGTCGCTCTGGTTATGGTTTAGTTATTGTGTGGAAGAGGATTTGGTATAGTTTGTGATTTCTTAGCAGAACATAAAACGATCCCTTAATGATTGAACATTATTGATCTCACATTGGAGAAACTCCCACATTTAAACCAGGGATTTTCTTTCTTTTCTTCTAATGTTTATTTTTAAATCTTTGATTTGTTTCATTTTGGAGGGCATCCAAAATAAAAATGGAAAGGTGAATTGTATCCTTTTTGCTGTAAAACCTTCTTAAATTTACACTGGAGAGATAAATAGAGCAAGGTTTTCACCATTTTATTAACTTAATATTTTTAGACACAACTTCAGCAACAAGAGTCAACATCAACTCACTAATATATATGTGATATCATTAGCAGAGCCTTTTTCCAGCCTCCATGCCTATCAGGGATGTTTATCTTAATCAAAAAATGCAGAAACTTTACTCTCTTTTGTCTCATTTTGTCTTGCAATACCCATGGAAATGAGCCAAGGATCTTCCTGCTGCAAAGTAATAGTGCTACAAAATTCCCCACTGTCCAGCTAAGGTGTGCTGAACCAGAGATACACCTAAAAGGTGCAGGACACTGGAGCTTGAGGACAGGAACTGAAGGGAACTGTCCTGGAGGAAAATTCATGCATCGTTTATTATGTTTTAAATCCTAAAACTGGCTAAAAACTTGTAAAGCTTATTTTCAGTTCCTCTTAATCACAGCTGAAGTCATTGGTAATATGTCTCCATCAGCATTGTCCATTTAGAGATCTCAGGGTTTTCCAGCTTCTGTAGGGTGAAACCTCCACCTTACTTAAATCCTTTTCAGATTTTTTTCCTGGACTGACGTGTATTAATCTCCATCTATAGTCAGATCAAAACTAACGTGCTGTCCTTTTCTTGCTGTAGTAGTGCTTTCCTAAACGTTTGCTGAGTCCTCTACATGATTTAGGTAAACTACAAAGATGCTTTTTATGAGTCTGTTGGAACAACAGCTTTCTTTGTGCGAGACACCCATAAAGTCTTGATTTGTGTGCCTTGATAATATTCTTCACCTGAGCTGTGGATCTTAGCAGCTAAAGGGTTATCATGGGCCTCTTGGCTGCTTCCTCAATTAAGGATCTCCTTGTCTGTTTTGGCTGGACAGCTATATCTGGGTACATTTGTAGTTGTGCCAAGCTATTTCTACTGTAGTGTGACAGTTGCCCAGACAACAGATTTCCCCACCTGAGCTGTGGATCCAAGGAGCTACAGAGAGAATTAGCTTCTGTGATTACTGCTCTTCTCACTCGGCCTGTCAGTTTAGGAAGGCAGCCATTCTTTGGTAGGCTGTCACGCTCTTTTCAGTTTTGGATTTTGGTTTACACAGTGCTCAGTGAGATTTCCAATGCTTGGATTCCTAACTTCATGCTGTGTCCTTGGGTCATCGTGATGCTTTTTTTCCCCACAAATCCCTATATTTACTAAAACTGGAATTATATGTGCTCTAACTAATTAGGTGAACTCTGATTTCTTTCTTTCTTTGGTGTTACATCAAATGGGTCTGATATAGAAGCAGAGGACACTTGTCAGAAATGTATTTGCAAAATATATAAAGGTTTTAATTTCACTGACACTAAATAATTCTGCACTGCTTTTTTGTAGATCAATCATGTTTAATGACTAATAAAATATATACAATTCTGGGTTTTGGTAATAAGCTAGCTAAATGGCATAAAGCTCAAGGGGTACTTCTGGGCCAGTATATCCCATAGGTTGTCACCTTCCATCAGTGTCATAAAGGCAACTTTTTTTCTGGAAAAGACCCATCATCATAAAACCATCATCATCTTATTTCATTCACTTTCTCATCCGGTGAAACCCAATCCGGTTTTCAGTAGCATCATTTCCTCATTTTGCTCTTGCCTGTTACCATATATTGAGTCATTTTCTTCACCCTGCCTTAGCAGAGAGGTGTATCCTCTTATGCAACTGTACCGTGACTATTCCACACAGACAGACAGACAGACAGGGTATGAAACGCTGTCCCATCACTTCTCCTCCAACACATGCACATTTAATAGACTCTGCATCTCCGCACTATGCGCTCCACCACTCTGCAAAGCTTTACTCTCGGGATTTACAGCCATAAGTCTCCTCTCTTCTTTCAAACCCTTGCACAAACACACACAAACACACGCATGCATTAATGCATACACACGTCTGGCATCGCTTACAGGAAGTCGATTGACATACGTATGCACACACAGAGAAGGGCCTACATGATTCACAATTTCATTCTTCATGTGATGACGGCTCTCCACCTCCAGTCACGGCACTGAAAACAAACAGCGCATCGGATGTGGATGAGGAAACACAAACCGGTCCAGATGGAGGATTAAGGGGGAAATTTGTTGCTAAAAAAAAAAAAAAAAGAGGCAGGTTTGTGCGTCACATCTGCGAGATATTTAATGTAAAGTAGCGCACGTCGCCATGCATCTCTCCTCTTGGCTGTAGTCAGGAAAGGGTGGCAGGAGAGGGCTTGCCGTCGGTCCGCAGATTGGTGCGCAACGCCATTACAGACCACCCTACTCTGCTTGGTTCATTCATAAATACCAGAGGATCGCCATCTCGCAGCGGTGCATCATTTGGAAGACACATCAGCCCCCACCCCCTCTCTCTTCTCAGTAATAAAAAATGATAATAAAAACCAATCAGTTTCTCCATTTCTGCCTGCTCACTGCCAATATGGCTGTGCGGACATATAGGCTGCAACGGATATAGAAACAACACGATCGAGATTTTCCAATAGAATCAGGACTCGGAATTTATGCTGACATGGGTGAGTCTAAAACAGCAGCAGTGATATGAATAAATCGGAGGAGAACAGCGGGAATCCTTGAGCGCGCAAACCTCCAGCAGCCAGGCAGAAAGCAGAGCACAGCGCGGCTATACGCCACCAAATACCAGCATCTAATCTGCGCGTAAAAGAGGCAGCAGAGGACAGCATCTCCATACCTGGTCGTGATGGATATTTAGACGCAGGCTCCGTTTCAGGCTGGTCCTCGGTTCGAAGGGGTCAGAAAACAAACGCTGAGAGCGTCTTAAAGCATTTTTACACGACTCATGTAGAGCTCATGTCCTCCGATTCCCACTCACACACACGGTACAGCACGCACAAGCAATCTCAGTCTCTCAACCCCCCCCCCATCCCCTCTCTCTCTCTTTTTCTCGCAGATGGGATGAGGGAGGTGCTATACCTTCTCCCTTGTCTGTGGGGCTGAAAAAGTCAGGCTAAGCATTCATTCATATCCGTTGCATATTTTTTTTTTTATATATCTCCTATATCTTACCAATGGAATTAATGCATGAATTCCAACTAGGATCCCAAGTTAAATCTGATAAGAGAATCCGTGGGGGAAGCTAAAGATTAGGGTTATGACAGGGAGGCCATTAGACATCTTAGATCATATCACCACATATTAATCTTCTAAAATTTTAGGATTAATATGTGGTGATATTTAGAGTCTAAATACTAGTGGTGTCATGCAAAAAACTGATAAACATTTATAAAAACTGACAAGCCAAATTTAGTAACATTTCTAGATGAAATTTACCATGCAAAAACCAACAAGAAAGAACAGAGAAATAACACATCTTTAGTTTATTAAGTCAGCCACAAACCTGTAATTTCTTAAAAGTTGTTTTATTTAAGCATGGTCTGCCAAAGAAAGGAGGGTTTAGGCCCCAAAACAAGATAATTAGATGCACTTGAGAGAATATAACAGTTATTTTCCTTTTTGTTTTACAAATAAATCCTCTTATTCCATCTGCAAATTATCTTACCGTTTAACCAAGGTAATACACAAGTATTTAAAGAAATATGTTTTTTGCAATTTATGTTAGGTACAGGGGCCACAGCCAGTTCTACAGGGGCCCTACTGGCCCTGGTATAGAGGCGCTCATGGCCAAGGTGATGGAAATTTGATCACATTTTCATAGTCATAGGTAAAACTATACAAAAATAGGCTGTTTAAATTACAGTAGCATCTTTGTTATCTTAAATATGTTTTGAAAAGTGCTTTTTAAGTTTAACTTTTCATTTAATCATTTTACAAACGTTCAGCTGTATGACACCTGTGTTCACATGAGAATTTCTGTTGTGTTTGGAGTAAATGCAAAAATTTCAAAATCATGTCTTTAGTCCAATGCATTCCTTAGGAAGTTGTTTTGGAATGTCTTCCCCTAGTAGTAAATATTTGGGGAATATTTGCTGAAAGCTTTTCTTAGATTGATCTCTTCAGTGCTATAATTCATAGCTTTCTATAAGTTGATCTTAGAACTAATAATTGGCTGAGTGTATAAGATTTTGGATATTCTTCAACCCATGGGCAACAGTTGTTTGTTCGCTGATCATTTGGTTTCAGTTTCTGTTTGAAAGGAATCCTTTCCATCTAAATTTTAAAATGAAATGTTCTGACCAATGTCTAGAATGACCCAGTTCAATCAGAAAAGAGTAATACACTATAACATTATGCAATATAATTATCTGTATTTTCAACTGAATAATAACCACCTGTTAGTCCATTGATTGCTATGTGGGAAAAAAAATATTTTTAAACAATCTATCTGGTTAATGATTGTGGAGCACTTATTTTGTATAAGTACATATTAAACATAGAGATAATCCTGTGAGATTATTAAATGGTACTAATTACTAAAGATACTAATATTAAACTCACATTATTATTTAAAAATATAATTTAGATTGTCCCCTCCCACCTGTGCCAGATTTAACGTTTCGTTTGTACAATATCAGCACCATGGACATCAGCACCATGGACAGCGACATTGCCGCACATTGGAAGGCGCCGGAACTTGTGAATGCAGCACATCATACATATTGATAAGGCGAGAAAACACGCAGCGGAAAGAAAAGGCAATGATGTGTTGACGGATCCAACCACGATGTACCAGGAAATGAGCCATCGGTTTATTGATGACACCCAAACATATCCTGAACACAACTCATTGCCGTAATGGTTCCAGAATCTCCCTCTTGCCATTTAAAGTCGTGCTCAAACGTATTTAATGGTCTCCTCGTGCGTACATAAATTATTATTATTTTTTTTTTTATCCCAGATTTTGTTTAGAGGTTTGCCGTTTGCATGCAAAACCCTGCCTGAATGACTCACCAGCTCTGCATCCACACCAAATAGAGTTTGGCTCCCTCTCTTGGCGGATAGGGGGAACTACAGAAGAGCGTTTAATAATCTAAGGATCTTCAGCAAATTTAGATTAATTTTAGGAATTTATCCCTAGCAGCCTTTCATAAGCAATAGAAGGAAGAAATGTTATTGGTTTTACTTTGATATTTGTCAAGACAATGAGGCAAGGTTTTAACAAAATAAGCTTCCCAAAAGCAGATTAACCTTATTTTTTTTAAATCAGTTCAAACAATACAGACATCTTCCTCTGTATACAAATATCAGTTATTAATACATGTATTAAGATTTATCAGCGGGGGGTTCTGACAATAAATAAAACATGTAAAATCAAAAGTATAATTAAAGGCTTTATTATTGTGGTGGATTCATCCAACCAAATTTTTACATGAAAATACCAGGGTTCTCATTACTCTTCAATTTTCAGTATAAATAACTTTCGCAATAATTATTCTGGAAGGAGGATATTCTAATAGTAAACCAGATTTAAATATGGAACTTGCAAAAACAAAAGGAAGAAAGGATGGACTATAATTGATGGATTTAAAGCAGATTAAGTCATGGAGGGATGGATCAAAAAGATGGAATGACAAAATCCAACAGCTGTTCTCCCAGGATTACTCTTTGTTTAGCTCCATTTTTATTCTCATTAACCACCTAGTTTCCCCCCATACTCCTAAATAACTGGAAATTTTGCATATTGCAGATGATCGACTATGATGCATCCCTCAGGTTCTGTTTGCAGTCTTTTCATTGTTTTCTTCAAAATCACTAGGCAATGTTTGTTTATTATAAATGTACTTAAGTTCATGTTTTACTGTCATTTTGTTTTGGTCCACTAGCAAGATTTGCCCTTTAAAAAAAAAAAAAAGACCAGAAAATATGTCATTTCTGGTAGACATAAGAGCTAGGCAGATGAGTAAAAACGCAGTTAAAGCCCAAAGGAAATCTGTTTTTTGTAATATCTGGAAAAATTGGTGTATATCTGGCTCACATATCGCACCCTAGCCTAGTTCTAAATAATGCATGCACTGTTACATAACATGAACTTGATCTAAAAGAAATGTAGAAATGTAGATGGTGTCACGTTTTACAGATAAAAGAAAATTCCAGCTGATAAATGTGATTGGGTCACTTATGTGATCAGCTATTTTATTTTTTCTATAACAAATGACTGATGCGTCATGACTGAACCACAGGTATTAGGTTGTAAACCCAAGTAATCCAATGGACATCAATCTCAGGGGTGGTGGGGTTCCCCATCTCTAGGACAACTGCAGAGAGATAAAGTCTATTTTTACACATGCTGTTGAAACTGCTAGATAGATTAGAATATAAGTGCATCTCTGAGGCGGGTAATATTTGCAGTGATTAATGGACAGATCCATGTATGAGCGTTTAATTGAATTCAAAGCTTTATCTTTCCATTATTCTCTGTGTTCAGATATTTCAGTCTTTACTGTCGGAGGCACACAGCATACACAAAAATCCCAGCACATATCTTCACAGAAACCGTTTCCAGATGGATGCCCTTCTATCCCTCTGGTGCAGACAGACCAGCACGCCGGCTCCATCCACCATTTCTCAGCATATTATATCCAGCGCACAATCACAATTGGCGCTACTTTAGACATCCCTCAAGCATGAATGCAGCACAAAGCAGAAATTAATGCATGGGCAGTTAGGCAGACAGAATGATATAATCTGCTTATAGGTGACAGATTAAAAGATCAAGGGAATCTGGATACTGACTTTCTCTAGAGCTTCACATGGGGAAAAAAAAAAAAAAAAACTGCTGAAAACCCCCAGCATTCACTGCGATTATTAGAAACAAGTGAAGAAAAGCAGCAGAGCATGAATTTTGTAAAATTGGATTTTATAAGGTCCAAATTAAAGTGTGTAGTTTAGACATGATATAAAAGATGAAGCAAAATGAAACCACATCTATACACAGGTTTGTTTCATCGGTGTTCCAGTTTTATTTGTTTTTCTTTTAATCAATGAAGGGAAATAAATTAAGACAGTTTAAAAAGAGCTTTTCCAGTTGATGTCAAAGAATGGGAATGTTCCCAATATCTAACATTAAATCAAGTCTAACACAGTAAGAGAGAAAGGAGACAGAGGACAAGATTATCAACGCAACAGAAGGCAATTATAAATACATTATAGGGCAAAAAGCTTTCGCGCTAAAGACCAGTAAACTTAAAATGTTCCTGAGATGTCTTAGATTTACCACTGCATTTACTTGCCAATTAATCAGTAATGTCAACATATGGGTTCAGATGGATGTTTGTTTGTTTTTTTTATCTTAAGTCTGAATATAGTGCAACATATTAATCCTGTCCCACAAAACTGATAGTGCAGCCACATGCAAGCAAACAACTGATTTATTCTTAAACTTATTCCAAGCAGTCTTCATAACAGAGAAAGTTCACAAAAAAAGGTCACAGTTTCATTGACTGTCTTCAACGTACCGATGCTCAAATCTTTTATTTGTTTTTAGAAGAGACAGAAGCCACAGTCTCCATGAAGTGCAGGTCGACCGGCTATCCGTCTTCAAGGAGGATCAAAAGGAGGTGCACACAATCATTCACGCATACAATTAGGAGAGGCCCGTCTATGCTTTTCACTTATTCTTGTCAGAGTTGAGAACTTGGTTAACAGCTGGAAAAGAAAGGATAAATAGAAAATGCAACAGATACCAGGGCAGAGATTTATGTACTTGCATAAAAATAACACCTTAACATTTTATTCAAAAGAGGGTTTATTTAGTAAATTTAAATAGTGTAACATATATATATATATAGTCAGTTATATAGTATATATATAGTGGAGATAATTTTATACATTTTGTAAGCTAAGGCTTATATATTTGGTCCATAAAAAAGCATTCAGTTTCTCAGAAAAATAGTATATTAGACAAGACCAGTAAATAAAAAGACCAGTAAATAAAAAGTAAAAAACATAACACATGTCAGCCTACTAAAATGCTTGAGCATGCACCATACATAATATGCCACGTTTGTTAAGCGTCTATCTGGAACCAACTGCTGCTGCTTCAATGCAGAGTTGCATTGCGGTGATGAGCCAGTAGCTCTGCTGAGGTGTTACGCCCAGCTGGGTTCAATAGTGGCCTTGACCTCGTTCCCATTGTTGGCCCTGGTGTCTCATCTTCCTCTCCATGACACTCCAGATTAGCTTTGGGGTTTTGGTCAGGCAAGTTTGCTGGCCAACCAAGAACAGTGATACCGTTATCATTAAACCAGGTATGGGTCCTTTTGGGTGTTTGACCAGGTGCAAAGGTCTGCAGGAAAATAAAATCAGCATCATAAAACTTGTCAGCAGTGCGAAGTGCATTTTCCCACAAGTTAGCTGCTGCTGCTGCTGTTGGCTTTGATAAAACATAGCAGACCAACATCAGAGGCTCCTTGAATCATCACTACCTGGAAAGCTCACACAGGATATCAAGATAGATATCAAGAGCCTCTCAACTCTTCCTGCAGACACTGTACCTTGGTTCCAAATTAAATGGCCAATAAGATTCCAAAGATCAGACATTTTTAACTCCCAACATTGTATGTTATGGGCCTCTTTTTCTTAAACTGGGGTTATTGTTGCTGCTTTGCATTTTTCTACCACACTTTTTCCTTCCACTCAGCTTTATATCAACATCTTTAGAGATGGCACTGAACAGGCAGCTTCATCAGCAATGACCTTTGCGGACTGAAAAGGGTGTCAATGAATGTCTGCTGGATAGCTGTAAAAAAATCATTGGTCTTAATATTCTAATTTTCTGAGAAAGTGAACATGTTTTTTGTTCTTTTTAATTGACAAAGTCCTCTTAACAAATAAAAAACACTTTATATTTACTGTGAAATAAATCTTTATAAGAAAGTCACTTAAAATATTTCTGTTTTTCCTAACCCTAACCCTATATTGAAAAGCTGTACTGTGAATAGGACAGTAAGTTAATGACTCACCCTCTTTTGTCACAGTCTCTGTAATGTTCTTGGCCTTGGAAGTCAGATCACTGACAACCGTGTCCATGGTGGCCTGGTGTTTCAGAAAAAATGGCCGGATCAACCGCTTGTACAACATGTCAGAGCCGTTCCACGTCACTGGAGCCATACACCAAATCAGGAAAATGCACTGGGGAGAAAGCGGAACAGATTTCAGATTAACCTTAGCTGGACTTTTTGGGCTGCCACTTTAGCTTCTGTGCTACATTAAGCTGAAGAAAGACTTTAACCGTCTGTTGGAAACAATAATCTGACATATTCAGAAATAAGGATCCACTAGTTGTACCTCCAACATTCCAAATAAGGCCTGCTATAGCAAGACATAAAGTACAGGACATTTTTCCAAATGCAACATCAGTTAATACATACAGATAAATGCAGGATGTCTGTATATGTCTATATACATAAAAATCATGTTCCTTTACATCTCACAAAGTTTTATGTGGGAGATATTTTGTCCTTTACCTTTGAAAACTATTTCCTATTATCCAACCATCACATTGGGCTACTAATGCAAACAAGACCAACAATAATTTTCAGACTTAATTGTCTGAGAATCCTGCAATTCACATAATGTGATTCAACTGAAGCAGATGTGAAGAGCTCAAACAACTGTATGCATTTGCATCCTTTACAGAATAAATAAGTAAAGTACACAAACTTCTTCTAAAGGTGCTTTAATACAGATTCTCCACAAGAGGGCAGCTTTTGCCAACTGTATTTAGGACAGTTTTCCACCCAACCCAGCAGAAAACTACATAAAATCTTCAGAAAGAGTGTAGTTTAGTGTAAAATGACAATACTGAAAGTACTGAAGCAGGTCTCTCTGATACAGATGGTCCCAAACATTAACTCTGTTAGCTTTAATGCACATACAATACAGGCTCTTGACCTAAAAAAACAAATGTATAAGCCTATAATTACTGCTAGGCACCTTGATTGGCCTTTTTTTTTTAAACAAGGATTCAGTTAATGCTGTTATTCATCCACCCATTAATTTAATCATTTCTTACAAACATATAATGCAAATGTAAGTTTTAGATAATTTAGACCAGAGTTCAGCATTAAGGGCGCTATGAGCAGCACTTCTCATTAGCAGAAAATTTAACCTCATCTGGGACTAAACATTAAATCTAACTCTAAGATTTCCAGTCTCCATAAAAAGATGGGGATTATAAATCCGAAAAATCCAGTGCTAAAAATATGCAGAATAATCCTTTGAATGAGCTTAAGGGCTAACAACCAAACATTTTTTACCGTTAAATCAGAACAGAAATAACTCTGGAATTGACAAACCACCCTCCGCATGACCCGATGCTGAGGAAACTTATTTCCAACTACTGTGTTTAAGGGTTTGCTTTTCACTTTTTTTTTTATATTAAAGTCTTGCTTCATAATCATTTACATAATATAGCATTCTTTTGTTTTTTTCATCACAGAAATAGGAAGTTTTTGTAACACAAATCCTTAATGTCTACGATTTATGTTTTTGATAATCCATGGTTAACGAACAACAAGTAAACTTTCAACCTTATAAAATATTTTCAAAATTGTTGTGATTTTAAGTCCAATTAATTAGAACTAGTGGAAATTGTGTAGGGTTGATAATCAGGCAATGCAGTACCTTCCTGCTGGATCTATATGTGTGTTTACTGTGACTTTTTCAAGGCTCTGAACTCATGAGCAAACAGTCGCTGATGAGTCTGCAGAGGTGGGGTTGTGCGTGATGACAGTGGTGCAGTAATAAGGTACAAAACCAAAGTTAAACGTTTCTTATTTTCAACATCGTCATCTGAAATTTTATCACCACAGTTGGATTCATTATCGCATCGATATTTATCTCTCAAATAGTCACTGGAAACAGAAATGTTGTTCAGTGAAACTGCAGGCAATTGGAAGATGAGAATTTTACCACGCTATGGGAAGTGCTGCCTTCCTTCAGGCAAAACAATACTGATTTTGTCCACTGGGGGGAGCCAAAATCAACCAAAACTTAAAGTTCTTTAGTACTGCTTTAATACAGCAATCGCAGTGTTGACTTTACTACCTTTTACTACCTCAACAAGGCTTAACAAAGGTCTTGTCTAAGATCTCCTCCCACATGCAAAACCTTTGGCCATGTCAGAGTTTGAACATGTTTTAGAACAGCTCCTCCATGCCAATGGTGGATGCATGGTACGATGTGCCAACACTGTTCATGGTAACATTTAGTTTTTCTTTATAATTTGCAAAAAGCCTCAATCATTCTCAATGACCTGTTGAAGCCAATCTTTAAATGTTGGGTCAAACATTCTGTTAAAAGTATTTAGTTAAACAAAGTAATAAAAACTCATCATTTGTTGAAAACTCTACTTACTAATGTAGTGAGGTAGTGTGTTTTTTTTTTCAGAGTACATTTCGCTCCATCGATAAATCTGAATTGTATATGTAATAATTAAAAATAACTGTTGTATATAACTGGTTTTAGGCAATGGTTTGGTTTCCGCAAACCATTGGAGTTAAATTTACTTTTCAAGTTTTACAGTGATCTAAAGTTGGGAAACTGTAAATTTTTCCATGGCGGGGTGCAAAATGATTAATTTCAACATATTAGGCAGTTCAAACACAGTACAATAGAGCTTAAGGATTTAATCAAAAATCAAAATTAAGATTTTTTTTAAAACAAACTTTGGATTGGGATTTAATTTCCCTTTTCCTTTGCACTGAGCCCAAGCTTGTAGATGTTTCAACCAAAGCTTTCAGTTTATGTGAAAGGTTCTTATTGCTACTTATATGCATTAAATCTGTGTTCTAGCTGCATCTGGCTTTACCTCTCCATGTGGCGAAAAACCCACATCAAGCATTTTACTGCCAAATAAAGGGATAGAGGGAGAAAGTTAGTATATTACTCTTGGTAAATATAGAGTGATCAAAATAGGGTGACTGCAATTTGAAAACTGTGTTTTGGTAAATTTCAATTATATTGCAAATACAATTAACTTCCCAGTCCTTGCACACAGCCGGTCAGCCAGAAGAACAAAAAGAATTTATCAACATCAGTTCAGGTCCTGCTGTATGTATAGCAAAAACTTTTGTACAGATTTTATAGCTAAATGAACTTCAAACAGAGAGCATCATTGGAAAAGCCAAAATATTTTGAAGTTGAGTTGACAGAAAAATTTACGACCAAGTCAAATTCTGTTTGTCACCTTTTACTACCTTTCAATGGCCTAAAGTTGAGTAAATTCAATTTACAACATTTTACACCCTGTAGAAGCCCTGTAACTTGAGAGCACAGCTGACAAACACATGTATGCATTTTATGGGAGAAATCAATGCATTAACTTACTTTTCCACAATAGTAAAAGGGGAACCAGGAGAGGAAGATGTCAGAAAAGGCCTCAACAATGCTGAACAGTCCATAAACAACCCAGTAGGTCAGCCACTGGGTGTCATCATCCTTGACGTTGCTCTCAATGGCCTTGATGCTGAAGGAATAGGACAATGTATGTCGATATAAATGTGTAATAAAAAAAAAGTCCAACTAATGATGATGAAGCCTTTAGGATTATCTGATAATATCGTCACATTAATGCAGAGACATTTGCATAATTATTTGCATTTTTAAACTGTAGGTAACATCCTACTTCCTTTATAATTTAACAGCTATGTTTTCAAAACCATTCATATTGCCTAAAAAGAAATGTGTACAAGTGGGCAAGTTATTTATATGTGCTAATCAGCCCAGGAATGCCATCATATTTACAATTTCTGTTGGGATAAGAAATAAAAAGTATTATCTATCTATTTATATGTTTCTATGATTAAAACAAAGGTTAATGGAATTATTTATAAAGGGAGGAAGATTTCAAAACTTTGAGTGAAGCGTTTTCACACCAATTTAAAGATGATGTTATACGTACGAAAAATACGCTGGGTAGATGAATCCGATCAGGTTGCAGAGCAGTGAGGCTCCATATCCAAACAGAAGGTAGAGAGCGATGAAGGCGAGAATACCTACAAAGAAAGATGAGAGCAGAGGGCGGGGCAGGAAGGTGGAGGAGAGGGTATCCAGTTACAACATAAATGCTGGGTTAAAGCATGTTATTGTGCCAAATCATAGGATGGAAGGATAGCAGAGAACTGGGACTAGAAGCTGTGCTGACATAAAGCCAAATACCAGTTATCAACTTTCAGCACATTTCAAAAATCACTGACATCTAAGCCTACACCTGTGACTGAAATTAAACAATTAATCAGTAAATACAATTCCACTGTGGGACACTATCAAAAATTACCCTTAAAAGTTAAAACCAAAATTAAAAGTGTCATGATAAAAGGCAGGAAATGAAATCAATTACCTCTTTTTGTCATAACTGCCAGCGCAGCTCTTCAGACTGGTCAATAGTATGTTTATAATTAACATGAATCAAAACAATGTTTTGTTGTGATACTCCCAAGTAGTTTGCTTCTAGAATTTTGGCTACAAAACGACCAAAAATATTTGCGAAAACCACAAATTTATGTAAGATATAACTGATGTAATCGGGTAATTTATATGGGTTACATTCAAACAAGAGGAAACACCATTCTAGGCATTAAGGATGCCATTTGCTACTCTTTACATCTCATTTGTGTCTTGCAGTTCATAAATTAATATCTATACAAATGCAGCAATAAAGAAGAAAGATGAAACAGATTGGACTCTAAGTCAGGACTAGAGCTCACATACAGAAACACTGCAGCCTGCAGAGATCAGACAGACTTGTTGACTGGAAACACATAAACAGCTGGAGGGTCTTCAGACAATGCTAATGAGAAAAAGCAGATGTGAAGCGTTTCAGTCCAATTTTAAACTTACTTTATTCATTCAGCATCTATTCAAAGCAACCATTATCTCCCTCCATCATCTATACCCACTTTTCCTTGCAGGGTTTACAAAAGGTCTCATCCCTAACCAACTTCATGTTTTTAGAATACGGGAGGAAAATGGAGAATCCGGAGAGAATGAATGTATGAAGACCTCAGGCTTAAGGGATCACACACTGTTAAAAATGCAAACTGTTGTAAAACGAATACAGCAGTAGCCTTCATGTGTTGATGCTACCTCTGCTTTCAAAATAAACTATTTTTTTTTTACTTTTTAGGGGGGAACTATTAAAGGATCATTTTAATTCAGCACCCTAATATGGAATTGGGTCCAAATTTGTCAACAAAACAAAGCTTTTGAGATCAAGTGTTGACCACAAATCCACTATTGGTTTGCTTTCAAAGTATATATTAAGTAGGGTTGAAATAATTGATCAGATTAAACATGATTATTCAATTACTGAAATAATGGTCAACTAATTTAGTAATCAATTAATTGTCAAATGGAGTATATAGAGTCTCTAAAACATGCCTTTAACTGACTCACTTAGAGTAGTAATTAGATCAAAATTGTAAAAAAAATACATATATATATATTTATATATATATTTTTTTTGCATTTCAGGAAAAATAAAACTTTCATCCATCAATATTCTCTATCCAAAACTCCTGAAGTGGGTTTCACCCGGTTTTATGTCTTAAAAATCTTCTTTAAGGAACCTTTGGC